TAACGACCACAAACGGAGGAAAATAGCGGAGTAAAAGTACCGATACGTCACTTAAAATGTACTCAAGTAAAAGTAAAAGTACACAATTTTTAAACTACTCAAGAAAGTACAATTACTGATTAAAAACTACTTAACTACTGTAACGTGAGTATTTGTAATTCGTTACTTCACACCCCTGATTGGGACACAACAGAAAGAAAAACACTGAGAAAAAAGAAAAAAAACGGAAAACAAACGGAGGGGAAAACACAGAAGTTACTGTTTTGGTCAGTTCTTCTGTCACACTTCTCGGGAGGCAAGGAGCAAGGAAACACAGAGATAACTTCAATTCAGAGTCTTTTGAAGTCTTTTTCAGAGGAGACACTGGAACACAAGGAATGACGTTTGAGAACCGACAAACACTAACTGAAAGGACTGGGGCTTTTAAACACTGGGTGATTGGGAAAACACAGGTGCAAGGAATGACTAATTAAAGGGAACACGGCACACCTGGGGAGGGAAAACACAACACAAAGAGTCCAGGGGCGTGAGAATATCAAAGCATCTTCAAAGTATAAAGCACTGAACATTAAAACTATTAAGCAGACTTGACATGTCTGGTCTGAAATGTGCAAAAACACTGCTATTTTTAAGGGAGTACATGTTTTAATATATGTGAGCAGAGCCCCTTAGGGCTTTTTTTGTCTGGTCAGTTGTGCAAGAAATCTGATGGTTTCCAAAGTGGTTGAAAAACCTCTCAAACAGGCAAGAGTGTACTATTCCCTCCATTACATAAAAGGCAGTGAGATCTATAACACATGAAAGAGAATGCTTCATTTAAATGGGAAAAACATGCTGAAGCCTATCGACTAGGGTTTTTAAATCAATGAGCAAATGCAGACATCAAACAGGCCTTTAGACACTAATGGGCAAATTAATCAGCCATAAGATGTCAAATGTCAATCATTGATCATAATGATTGATGGAAGCCACAGCATTATGCTTTTGTGTTTCTGTATCTGTTACATTTCTCATTTGTACTTCATGTTTTGTTTATAGGGGAACACATATGGATTGTCCTTGATGGGCCAGTTGATGCTATATGAATTGAAAACCTAAACTCAGTCCTGGATGATAACCGCACACTGACATTGGCCAATGGTGACCGCATTCCCATGGCCCCCAATTGCAAGATTGTGTTTGAGCCACACAACATCGATAATGCCTCCCCAGCCACAGTGTCCTGTAATGGGATGGTGTTTATGAGCTCTTCTGTCCTTAACTGGAGCCCTATTTTGGAGGTGGGTGATGAGGAACAAGTACTGAATCATATTAGTATATATTACATATAGTATATAATATATTACATGCGATACATAATTTGATACAATGTACTTATTGTGTACATGTTTTTACAGTGTACTTATATTTGAAAATACTATCCTGTAATTACATTTGCAATTAATTTATGTAGGTACATCTATAATTACATCGTTAACCTTACCTCTAGCCCTTAAACGTAACCATACCAAACCTGCCCCTAACCTTACCCATATCCTACCTCAATAGCAGCAAAAGTGTTTTGTGATTTAACATGAACACAATAGATATATTGTACCTGACAATTCAATATTTTATTATTAAGTACATAGTGTTTAAAGGGGTCATTGGATGCCCATTTTCCACAAGTTGATATGATTCTTTAGGGTCTTAATGAAAAGTCTATAACATACTTTGGTTAAAATTTCTCAATGGTAGTGTAAAAAACACCTTTTTTTACCCTGTCAAAATCAGCTCTGTTTTCAGCAAGCCATTCTAGTCCATGTTGCTCTAAATGCTAATGAGCTCTGCTCACCCCGCCCCTCTCTTCCTTGGGGTGATGAGCAGACTGTAAACTTCAGCCGCGAAACTGGCTAACTAGCACGTTATTAGGAAAGGCGATTTGCAAAGATTCATTAAAAAACCCTTATACTCACTTCTTCTGTTGATGAAGCTGGATCACGAATGATTTGCGCGAACATAGATGCATTTAGGCAGATCGGGATCGGCGCATTCCCTTCAAAACGAAAGTAACGTTAATCCTCTGCGTCTTCAGCGGCTCAGATGTCGGGAGTAAATGACGATTGCTATATTCATTATTACATCCAACAACAAAACACCTCAATCGCTTAATCGGAGACGTTATTGTCTTCCCCTGCACCGGAGTCGACACAATGGCTGACTGATGACAGCGCACTCAGGGCGGGTCTAAGGTAAGATGCTAGTGTCAATCAACTATTGTGGGAGGGGCCTGTGCAGAACTACATCATTCTGACAGGAATCTCTGAACAGCCTGATTTGAGAAAGGGGGTTTTAAAATAGGGATTTAAAAAAAAAACACTGGGTGGATGTACACACACTTCCAACACACATTTATGTTCAAACAACTTGTAAAGTGAATTTTGCATCCGATGACCCCTTTAAAGACATCTAATATAAAGTGGAACTGAAAATTAATTTACTCCATTGTTCGAATTTTTTTCACTTTGCATGAAACAAAATGAGATATTTAGCATATTTTCTATGAGTCTAAGTCTAAGTGAATATAAAGCTCTAAAAATGGAAAAAAAGAAGAAAGAAAGAAGAGTGTGCCATGGCCTTCTGAATCATTATCATAATGTACCTGTAGCTTTGTACAAGGAACAGACCAAAATTTAGGTTAACTGAAAATCTGCTACAAAATTGGCCAAAAGACACCACAATGTACACTCTAAAGTGCAGGTTTAAATTAGGATGAAAGAGACATGAGAGCTACACCAAAAGAGATTCCAGTATATTCCTTGAATTTAAAAAATAAATAAATGCATAAATACATACAAACATACATAAAAAATGGAATCATGCAGGTTTCAAACAAAATGAGGGTGAGCAGCTGATGACAGATTTTTTATTTATTGGTGAACTATTTCTGTTAAGCTGTCTATTTTTCTCATTTTCTGTTTGACCTAAATGGTTAGTTCAACCAAAAACCCATCCCAACCCAACCAAACCCATAAAGCTTTCGGTCATTGGCTTCATCATATGATTCAATCATGCCTCTTCAGAACTTCACTAGATTTGAATGTATTTTGAAGCATCAAAGTTTTAGGGAGAAATGACTTTCAGTGGAGGGACAAAAATCTACAAATATGTCCTTCCACATTTGCATCATAGACGTGAAGAAAGGCATCTGCAGAACCCTGAATGTAGAAACCAGTGGTTCTGCTAGTTATTCCTTATACTCCACTCTGAATTAATGGAGTCTGAAATCCCCAAGGCATTTCTCTCTGTCTTTATAACAGACTTCAAAGTGTTCAACTGTTCAGTGGATGAAGAGTAAATGAGGGAGAGCCAGAAAAAGACAGAGAAGAAGGACAAACTATTTTTGAGCTCTAAAGGATACTTCATTTAATTTCCGTGTGCGGATGTCTATCTCCCACTCTGTGTGTGTCCTTCCTAACAGGTTTTTCATTTGTGTGTTTGTGTGTGTGCTTTTAGGGCTGGCTGAAGAATCGTTCCCCTCAGGAAGGGGTGTTCCTGAGGGAGCTCTTCTCCTCATCTTTTCCTGAGCTCTATCGGTTCAGCATCCAATCTTTGCAGCATAAAATGGACATGCTGGAGGCCTTCATCATCATGCAGTGCATAAACATGCTGCAAGGACTCATTCAGCCCAAGGTTGTGATTCAACAGCTGTAGTCCTCATTAACCCAGATTTTGCAACAATGAAAGACTGCCTACTAACTTTAGCTTCTGTCATTAAAGAACAGAGCTGTAGTCCAGTGTTTTATTGCATACACTATGTACCAGGGGTCACCAATTAGCAGACTGCAGTTATGACCTTTTGGCACTATATCCTATAATATTTTTATCTAACCCCAAACACCTTTACACTCCTAGCACCTAGCAACCTTGTTTCTCACAAAACTGCAAAATAATACCATTTCACTGCATTTCATGCAGAGAGATTTGACTTATCTTGACAGTGGTCATCATCAAATTGAAATATTTAATTATTTTTGATCAGCTTAAGAAAATCAAATATGTAAACTTATTATTGTTATTATTATTATTATTATATGATGCAATACAAGCAGAAAAAGCTTAAATCCGTCTACAAATATGTGAATTCCTGACCAGTTTTAATCAGTGCATGTCTTTTTGATATTCGACCCATGCAGATGTTCCCTTATTTGAAAGTCATGAATAAGATTAGGAGGAATTGTTCCCAGGAAATGTCACACATTATCCCTTGCACTGTCATTTGGAAAGCATTTATTTAGAGATACACAGTATACAGCCCTATTGTCACCACACTATCATTCTGTGAGAATATACATTATACCCACTGGCTCTATAGAAAAGGACCTGTAACCTTCGGAAGCATTTTGGGCTTGATGTAATTTATTTTTGCACAATGTGTATGGAGCCCCAACAATGCAACCTACAAATGATTATGTGACATTTCTGTCAAGGACCATAACACAGTGTAACGAGGAGGCTGAAGCCGAGTGAGAATCCATATGCAGAAGATCAATAGCACAACCCAGGGACGGTGAGGTGGTAATTGGGTGGCCTTCACCTTGCTAAATACCTCAGCATAGTCGTTGTAACAGTCTGGGACTTTAGTGGTTTGTTCGATGGCAGGGCTTTCAACACTGGTAGACAGGCACTGAGGTGAAAGGTCAGAGTGCATACAATGGGTTAAGCAAAAATTTGACCAGCAGGTTAACTCACCATGATGCCAGAAAATAACTGGGTCATGAACTGATAGCCAAGGAAAGCCTAGGATGATTTAATTTCATGGAGAGTCGATTACATAAAATGAGATAGCCTCTTGATGGAACAGGCCGACTTGGAGTCGAATGGGGTAAGTTTGTTCCGTTATGCCATCTCCAATGGGTGAATTATCAACTGCTCGTATCTTGATAGGTGGTTTACAAGGTTGAGTGGGAATGTTGTATTTGATGTGGCATGGGTGGAGGAAGTGAACGAATATAATGTGTCAAGTATTCATTGGTGGACTGCAGGCTTTCAAGTTGTTTTTGGTAGCCTTTGAGTACCTCGCTTTGATAGGCGAACGCCGCTTGTAGCTCCGAAACTTCCGCTGGATTCATGGGTGGCGAAGTATTCTGTAACGAGGAGGCTGAAGCCGAGTGAGAATCCATATGCAGAAGTTTATTTAGAGGGCAATCCAGAATCAGTGTCAGAAAAAGGCAGTAGTCTAAACACAGTCAATCAGTCCAATCGGCAGCCAAAACAGAGGGAAAATCCAATAATCAGAAGTAGAATCAAACGGGCAAGAAGTCATACACAAAATCAACAGGCAATGGTAATAGAATGCTCGGTAAGGCAGTGAGACTGGCAATACTTCGCAGAGAGTGTTTGGGCAAGCCATGCTTTATGGCTGCCAAACAGGAAGTCACCAACGAGGCAGCAGAGGGAGCGTGACAGTCAATACTCGGGCGAGGGCTCCCTCTGCTGGCCTGGCATTACACACAGATAGAGTCAAAATATTGTTATGAATTGAATGTTGGAGAATATTAACACTATCGAAAAGAAACATTTTATGCCTAACCGCATGGCCTGAACTGTATTTGTTTATGAAAGCAGATTGATGCGTCTTTTCCTTTCTTTATTTTACATAAAAGAAGCCATATTTATCATAAAGTGGATATAGTCTAGTCTACACTTCTGTTTATTTTTTTTGTTTGCCTTGTGAAGTCTACTTACAATGTTAGTCAAAACTCCAAACATCACAATTTAGTGTTAGCTGCACCTTCTCTTTGACCTTTAGAAATAAACAGGCTTTTATTTATTTATTTATTACAGGTGTGATATGTATAATTAAATGGCATCTGTTATGATTGGCTAGCCTTCTTGCATGTGAAGTAGCTTACAACACCCTTGCCAAATGTATTATTGTAGTTTGCACATACTAGCTAAGCTGCTATGTATAAAATAAGCTTTATTGGTGATGGTGTAGGTCACATTAACATACACTACCGTTCAAAAGTTTGCGTCAGTAAGTTTTTTAAAATAAATTAATACATTTATTCACCGTGGACACATTAAATTGATCAAATGTAACATTTAAGATTGACATTTTCTACAACATTTCTATTTAAAAAAAAAATATAATAATAATAAAAGATATCAGACAGACTTTTGATGATGCCTTTGATGATGTAACCCATCAGGAGCAGGGAGGGGAGCTGTCTCGTGAGCACATGGAGCGTCTGTATGTCTTCGCTCTGATGTGGAGTGTGGGAGCCCTATTGGAACTGGATGATCGAATGAAGTTAGAGAGATGGCTCCGTCACCATGACAACGTTGGCCTGGACCTTCCCAATATCCCTCCCCACAGCGAGGACACTATGTTCGACTTTTACGTCACTAATGATGGTATTTAACACACTTACACACCTCCTTCTCCCCAGTGTTACATTTGCTTTATTTTTTTCATCCATCAATCAATACATTTATCTTTGTCAATTATGGTTCTGTTTGCTCTAGCTCTTCCATCTTTTATCTAAAGTAATTAGGTCAATTATTAACTAATCAATATAGAAACTTCTGCAGAGTTTCTCTGACATTGTTGTATAGAGAGGCAAATTTGCAGGCTTATGGAGAATAATGAATCTGAAGTCTGTAGTCTCAAGACAGTTTTGTTTAAAATTGATTCTGTCTTTGTTGGGTGGTTTTGGTGGGCCACAGTGTAAGTATATTTCAGGTTGACTTGTTGTTTTCACAGCTGAAGAATATAACAAAATAGCTTAGACCCAAAAGTCTCTGGTTCACAAGGTCATTTAGAAATGTTGCCAGCAAAATATTGTACACTTTACAATTCAAATAGACCCCTAATTGGCAGCATTCATGTCTAAACTAGATAAAGTATCTCAGCCCTTGCATTTTCATGCCAAAAACTCAGCTTGTGAGTCAGAACCAGGGCTAATAACCCTATTTAATTATAGAACACATTGGCTTTTCGTTCTGGAATTTTAATGAAGGCGCTTGCATGATGCTCTATTCAGAGTGCTGACAATGGAAATTTAGCTATTGTCTCTTTTGCAGGCCAGTGGGTTCACTGGAATACCAGAGTGGAAGAGTATATTTACCCACCTGACTCCACACCGGAGTATGGATCCATACTGGTGCCCAATGTAGACAATGTTCGTACTGACTTTCTCATCCAGACCATTGCAAAGCAGGGCAAGGTGAGAGCCATTTAAAGTTCTATGTGATTTCTTGTACTGCATCACTTTGCAAGATCACATGACAACTTGCTGCAACTTGTTCTGAGGGATTACATCATTTTACTAAAGTATGAATAAAGTATGAGTCATAAATTAATCATCGCCTATTTTGTTTGCTGTGGGACAGCTGCGCACCATAAACCGATCATAGTCATCATCTACTGTTTTGTGCATTTCATTCCAAGTCTTCAGAATAAATGATAAAACTATGTAAGGAAAAGGTTCATAATGTATTCATTATGCATGGATAATTGTCCCTATCTGCTATTACATTCAATATTGCTTTTGTTTAACATTCAAAATTGGGTGCATCAAGCAATTTACAACACAGATTTGCAGCAGTGATGCTAATTAACATCGTCTCTCTCTCTCTCTCTCTCTCTCTCTCTCTCTCTCTAGAGAGAGAGACATGCAACATGGCAAATTTGAGTTACAGCAAGTTTTTACTTGAGAGATGCAAGAACTTTAATTTCATTCTGAAACTCATGCAAAGTGAACCTTTGCTGTCAGAGCACTGACACATTCATAATTCTGTGTATATTGATAAAGCTTTTTGTAATGTCTCGCATGTCACATTTATCTGCCTGTTACATATTTCATATTGTCAAGAAATGGTGACAAGCAATGTGTTACGGTATGTACAATTGGGAGCATATAGTATGATAAAGATGCTGATTCAATTACTTTGGATGTTAAAATGTGTTCTCAAAACTAGCATTAAAAATACTGCAATGTGCTATGTTTGTTAGAATACATAGTTCTCATTATTCAGTTCACAAAAATCTGACTAAACACCCATTAGCACCAGCTCTGATACATGAACAAGCGCCATTTTGGTGAAATAGGGTTACTGTATTTTTGGACTGCAATTGTAGATCATATTATAAACGCCTCTGGATCTTATAAAAGCATTATAAAGTGTAGGTTCTCAACAATGACACCCTGTAGTGCTGCATTATTGATTCCTCTAAATGAGGCTTGTTTAAATGGACAGCTACTTTGTTTGTCATCAAGACTTTTCCTGTGCTGCCAGCACTATGATTAGCTGTACACAAGGACAGATGGTCGCCCTCTCTGGAGTCTACTCATGTTTTCTTCATGTGTTTCAGGCTGTGCTTTTGATAGGAGAGCAGGGCACTGCCAAAACCGTCATCATCAAAGGCTACATGTCCAAATATGACCCAGAGTCCCACACTGCCAAGAGTCTCAACTTCTCTTCTGCCACCACACCTCTTATGTTTCAGGTACATAAAGACAATGTTTTCCCCCAAAACATGTTCAGTATTTTGCTGTCTTTGTCATTTATCAGCAGGTATTCGGTTAACACTTTCTATGAAGTCTGCACATGCATGCACAGTGTTGTAATGCATTTATAAGGAAATATAAATTTAATACATTGTCACTGTTGGGGACTAACTAAAAGTAATGATGCTAGTAACTACATTTTAGTACTAAAAAAGTAGCTCAATTATTTTTACAGTAGAGTTGCTTTTTTTTAGGAATATGCCTTTTTTGATACATAAATAACAATGTAGCATGACAACATACTATGTCACTGGTATTTATTTGTACACAAAGCATAAAAAACTCCTAAACTGCCTAAACTTCAACTGAAATACAATACATTATAATTTTAAAAACAATTAAAAGAGTCCCTGCACTGCATTTTACAATGTTTTGGTAGAAAAAGAGTTAATATGATTTATGAATATATTGTATAAATTAAAAATGTAGGAAATGAATACTTTTATTCAGCAAGGATGCATTAAATTGATCAAAAGTGACAGTAAAGACTAAAAGAAATACTGATGAAAAAACAAAACAAAAAGTGAACTTAAAATGGTCTAAGTTAACTGGTTTTACTAAATTGTATGGGTTAAATCGGGTAGAAATATCTACAAGAAATAACAGTTGTAGGTTCTCACTGTTTACAGTATATTAGAACTATTTCTGAAGGATCATGTGACACTGCCTGGATTAATGGCGGCTGAAAATTCAGGCTTGCCATCACAGGAATACATTATTTAGGAATAAAGGCTATGTATTAAAATATTAAAATAGAAAACAGTTCTTTTGAATTGTATATTTACAATATTATTATTTTGGATTGTATATATAATATTTCATAATATTTACTGTATTTTGATCAAATAAATGCAGCCCAAAAGCACACACAAAAAAAAAATACAAAAAACTTAATGACCACAATTTTGAATGGTAGTGTGAAATATATGTATAAACTCACAGCATTACATTGTATTTACAGGTTTAATAGAAAGTGTTATCTTTTGGCCAAATGTAACACCAAGAAACCCAACAGGACCTGAAAGCATCAGTGTGCATAGCATTCCCCGGGCTCAGATGTTAAGGGTTATTCAGCCTGGCTAATGGTTCCATCACATTCCCTGCTTTGTTATTGACTATTGCGTTATTGATCCAAATCTCATCTGTGCTTCCTAATTTATGAACAGCTGTTGGATGTGTTTGTGAGTAATCTGCATGTATATGATTGTTTTGGTGTCTGGGACTTTTTAGCGTTCTGTGGAGAGTTATGTAGATAAACGAATGGGAACCACTTACGGCCCTCCAGCAGGGAAGAAAATGTCCATCTTTATTGACGACGTCAATATGCCTGTGATCAATGAGTGGGGTGACCAGGTAAGAAATATGATAAAGCTGCCTAAATAGTTGCTTTTAACTGCAGGATGTAACATCCACTATTTGTATGTGGTTTGTACTTTTTTTTATATAAGTGGTAAAGTTTAATTCCCAAGAAGCACAGGTGAATGTACAGCAATACACAATAAAGCGCTATATAAATGCCTCATTCATTCATTCATTAAACAGTTTCAAGATGAACACCTGCATCCTATTCACTAACCACCATCTCTATTACAGGCATACAGCATTAAAATGAAGTAATGTGTCACGCAGTGCAAATATCCTCTTTTCTATCGGAATTAGGTTTATTATTCCCAAAATTCAGCATTATTTGCCTTGTACAATGTATGTACAATTTATATACGTATTTCCCCCTTGAAAGCAGGTGTTAGACATGATTTTGTTTAAAGGAGACAGTTGTGTACATTTTCTCTCAGACATGCCTGCAGTCATTTATCAAATTACGATATAATAAATTGTGATTATAAATCAAGTTGCTTGATTTGCATAATTGCTTGGTGCTAAAACATCTTCTCTCTCAGTGTGAACAAAACGTATTCACAGAATCCATTTACTTTCTTCACAGGTCACAATGAGATAGTTCGGCAGCTGATGGAGCAAAATGGCTTCTTTAACCTGGAGAAACCAGGAGAGTTCACCAACATTGTGGATATCCAATTCTTGGCGGCTATGATCCATCCTGGAGGGGGACGAAATGACATCCCCCAGAGACTGAAGAGACAGTTTTCTATTTTCAACTGTACTCTTCCTTCCAATGCCTCCATAGACAAGATCTTTGGTTAGTATCATTGTCTGCCATTTGCAAAACAGTAAAAATCCATTACTTTAGGATAATAATAAAAAAAAAGCTAAAGATCTGAAGGTCAATTTGAGGCACAGTTGTTTCACCCCTTTCTGTCAAAATTGTAGCAATAACATGCAATCACAGACAGTCTTTATGCATCAATATTAAACACACTGCAAAATTCAGTCCAATTTGAAATGTTATTCTAAATATGGCAGTATTTTGCTCTTTGTGGTTGTGTCATTGTTTCCTTCTAATCATTTGCAGTTCTTTAACTATAGAGCTGTAGGACATGCATAAAGTATGTTTTATAATTTCACAGGTTTACCATTGTTTTGGTGAATTTTCACAGATAGTTTGATGGCAGGTGGTATAGATATATTTTAAAAGAATCCATCAAATGATCTATTTAGACATGCATTTTAATATGTTATAAAAGGCAGAAAAACAAAAGAAGTATGTGGAACATGCTTCTTGGCTTGGCTCAGAGAAGTATGATTTATCACATCTCATTTATTTTGGTCAAGGTTGTCAACAGCTTTGCTTAAGCAGAACCTATTTTGTAAGTTCATATTGATTCTGACTATGGGTTGCTGTTAGTGGTTCTCTCTCTGAATCTTTATATTGACCATTTTTTAAATGATATTTCATGCTCACACGCAGGTTAGCCTGCAATCTCGATATGTGTGTAATATTGTCATTTGTGACATTATTGTCATTCTTATTCAGCTCAGTATTCTGTCATTCATAAAGGCCACATTTGCTCATTCGGTCCTTGTGAATTTTCTGTCTGCTAAGCGCAATCCTTTTTTCATTCACTTTCATATGCCATATGTATCTTTTTCTGCTCCAGGCGTGATAGGCTCCGGTCATTACTGTTCCCATCTGGGATTTTCAGAAGTACGCAACACAGTGGTCAGGCTTGTTCCACTGACCCGAAGACTCTGGCAATTGACAAAAGTTAAAATGCTGCCCACTCCCGCCAACTTCCACTACATTTTTAACCTGCGTGACCTCTCCCGCATCTGGCAGGGAATGCTCAGCATGACTGCAGAGGTCATCAGCTCGTCAGATGTGAGTGGAACTGTATTTCTGCTCTTATTCAGACACTCAGTGAACAATCTGAATGAAATTACATAATTGCAGTTATTACACCATATTAAGCAATTTAACACACATCTAGCAATGGAAATTCTAAAGAATTTAATTATTTTAATTGCCATCCATCCATCCTTGCATGGTTTTTGATTGTGATTACTCTTAATAATTCTGATTCCTTAACAGATTCCTTAACTTCATTAATGATTCTACTTTTAGTATTACCACATTCATTTTTTTTTCACTATTATCGCTCTTATATTTTTAGTATGAATACAGTTACTAACATCACATATGTTCCGATTAACTGTTAATGGAATAAAATCTTAATATAAACAAATGACAAGAATGGTTGGTTCCGGTACTCTTTCAGTGAAATCCAACATACACTGGTTAAACAGAAAAAAAAATTGCATAATATATTGGTCCAGGTATTACTGCGGCTGTGGAAGCATGAATGCAAACGTGTGATTGCTGACCGGTTTACTGCCCCAGAGGATGTGGCCTGGTTTGACTACACGCTGGCCAAGCTAGTGGAAGAAGAGCTTGGAGAAGAAGAACGAATGGTGGTGGATCTTGGGGTGGATTCCTACTTTGTGGACTTTCTCAGAGATGCACCTGAGGCCACAGGTACTGATCAGAAACAAATTCAAAACCAAATACAAATCCATATATATGTATATGTATATATAATATTGTCTCTGTGTGTGTTAAATGAGCCAGTTATGTTCAATTCTGCTAATGTTTAGTGTAATAAATTTGTTCAGTAGTATTTTTATTTTCTTTGCTGTTTTTTTTTTTTTATATGCTGACATCAGTAAAAATAACTGCTTTCGGGTGTAACCAAGATGGTTACCATCTGAATTGCCTTAAAAGGACTTTGAACATGCCAAATAAGGACAGACCCAAATATTATTTCTATTAATTTGATTTTCATTTTATGCAAGAAAGACATTTGTTAACATTGCTTTCATAAAGTGTGCAGTAGAGAGTTGATTGGCAGCTTCTCTTCTGAATTGAAATGAAATATCTAGGACTGACGTATTGTGATATATACAGGTGAAGAGCCAGAGGAAACTGATTTCGACATGCCAAAAGTATATGAGCCCATCAAATCCTTTGATAGTCTAATGGAGAGGCTGAACATGTTTTTGAGTCATTATAACGAGAGCATCAGAGGAGCAGGCATGGATATGGTCTTCTTCAGGGATGCCATGATTCATCTGGTTAAGGTACATTGAGTATCTTACAAATCTGATGTTTCTTGTATCTCTGTATTGACAGCATGTTATCATGAGGGCCGAACCCTGGCCAGTTTGATAATTCTGCACTTGTTATCATGTTTTCAAGGGGGAAAAAAAAAAAGATTTCAATAATTGATCTGTCTACTGAAAAGAATAACCTTGCTATAAGATATTAGCATCCTTCTAGCATGAAAGAGAAAAAGAAATGTAATGGTCACAAGAAATTTAGATGATTCCAATTTACCTTCCATGCTGATTACCGGACCCACACATGTCCTACTTTAGAGAAAAGTACAAATAAGTGCTCTGAGTTTCTTTATGTAAAGTGTGTGTATAAACGTTTTGCATGGTAATGAGGTGGCATCTGTCTCATCCCCTTTTCTCTCTTGCACACTCTTTCGCCAGATTTCTCGGATCATCAGAACCCCTCGGGGAAATGCCCTACTGGTCGTTGTAGGGGGATCTGGAAAACAGAGTCTGACAAGACTAGCATCTTTCATCGCTGGCTACAAGACTTTCCAGATTACACTCACCCGGTGAGTCACCTTCACATACTCAATCATTTATAGCTTCTTTATTCAAATTCACTTTTCCCCTCCAGGGAGACAGAGGAAATTTCATCTGTCTCCTCTTGTTTGAGTAGTTGATCTACATCATCACATGTCTAGACAATCTTTACAATGCAACTCTTTTTATTACACAGTAATAACTTAGTTCATAACATAGTTATAGCACAGTAATAAACACGTGTCACTGTTAAAGCAGTGTTTTTGTATTCCTTTTTTTCCCCCTTTACCAAAAGCCAATAATTACGAAAACAAAAAAATATATAGTAACTTATTAAAATAATACCAATACTACTGAGTGAACAGACTGCTCTGAATCATGGCACAGCATTCATGTGTTTGACACTAGTTTGAATCCAGTTCCAAAACATTTTTTGACCATTCCCCCTATCGTTGATTTTTCGAATGAAATATAAATAAAAAAGCTGTTTTTCTGGCGTAATGCAGTTTAGTTGTGCTCCAGTAGATGGTATCTGTGTATAAGAGTGTTCTGGCCTTCACTTTCCAATTCAGCTCTGCTGTTGCAGACTATAAAGAGGAAAGAACATATATCCAATCAACTGTGCAGTCTGATTCAGACAATGAGACTGGATATTTTCAATTCAGACCGGTCTTCAAATTCAATTGATAATTCAGTGGTAAAATTGAAAGTGGAAATATCCGCTAATCATTAAAGTCTGTAGAAAAACAGGGAGCCATCTGTCAAGTGATTCTTTTTTATATTGGCTTATTTCTGACTCTGTTTGGAGGGAATCGTTTTCTGATTGTGGAATGGAATATTTTTGCCTGTGGCCACCTGCAATTCCACAGCACTTTTCTTCGTTTGCGTTTGTAATGATAGTAGCAAGCCTTTGGCAGTTCGACTCATATTTGGAGAGTGTTTTTCATTGCCACTTATATTTGAGAATTATATGAATAAATCTGGTGTTGATCTCAGACTGGATGTGAGAGTCCCCAGAGAAAACAGACAGATTTCACATTGATGTCTTCAAAACACAAGCTACTCACAATTCTCTGCATTCAGGCCGTCTTTTTACACCCAATACCATCTTTGTTTAGTACAGTGTTGTAAAAAGGCAACATGTCAGTTTTGTTCACTTTCTCGCTATACACAAAACACTTGCTAAAAAAAAAAAAGCTTGCAGGAGTTAAAAGGGCATTCTTAAGGGCATTGACAGCATTTTTTATGAATGAATGATGCATTTATATAGCGCTTTCTTGTGTATTGCTATACACCCAGAGCACTTTACAATCATGTGGGGGGCGGGGTCTCTCCTCAACCACCATGCAGCTTTTTATGCTGCTTTCAAGACACTTGTCATTTGTTTTTCCCTTCAAGCTTCTGGGGTCATCCTTACAGATCAGTCTCTGGGGCACATCTAGTTGTCCTGGTCTCCGCTGACATTTCCGCTGACATAGGTGCTGATCCACCATCTGATCTGTATACGGACTGGATCTGAGTGGCTACGGTGACCTCGGAATAAGAATAAAACATTTGAATATTAGAAATGTGTTAGTGTGTTATGTGTAAGCCGGGTTAAAGAGATGGGTCTTTAATATAGATTTAAACTGACAGAGTGTGTCTGCCTCCCAAACAACTCTAGGTAGATTGTTCCAGAGTTTGAGCGCTAAATAGGAAAAGGATCTGCCGCCTGTAGTTGATTTTGATATTCTAGGTATTATCATTATAGCTAGTATTATATTATAGCCAGAGTTTTGAGATCGTAGTGGACGTGAAGGACTATAATGCAATAACAGCTCACTCAAGTACTGAGGAGCTAAACAATTCAGAGCTTTATAAGTAATTAGCAAGATTTTAAAATGTATACGATGTTTAATGGGGAGCCAGTGCAGTGTTGACAGAACTGGGTTAATATGGTCGTACTTCCTGGTTCTACTAAGAACTCTAGCTGCTGCATTTTGAACCAGCTGGAGTTTGTTTATTAATCTTGCAGAGCAACTACCCAATAAAGCATTACAATAATCTAACCTTGAGGTCATGAACGCATGAATTAACGTTTCTGCATTTGTCATTGAGAGCAAAAGTAGTAATTTAGATATATTTTTAAGATGGAAAAATGCGGTTTTACAAATGCTAGAAACATGTTTTTCAAAGGAATGATTTCTATCAAATGCCTAGGTTTCTAACTGATGGTGAAGAATTTACAGAGCAGCCATCAAGAACTTCCTCTAATGCCAACATAATTTTCTAGTCTTTTCAAAAGAATGTTGTGGTCGATAGTATCAAACGCGGCGCTAAGATCCAGTAGCACTAATAGAGAGATACAACCACAATCAGATGATAAGAGCAGGTCATTTGTAACTCTAATGAGAGCAGTCTCATGTACTATGATACGGTCTAAATCCTGACTGGAAATCCTCACAGATACCATTTTTCTCTAAGAAGGAACATAGTTGTGATGATACTACCTTTTTTAGTATCTTTGACAGAAAAGGGAGATTCGAGATCGGTCTGTAATTAATTCATTCTCAAGTTGTGTTTTTTTAATGAGAGGCTTAATAACAGCCAGTTTGAAGGTTTTTGGGACATATCCTAATGACTAGTGATCGACCGATATAGATTTTTTATAACCGATACCGATACCAATTATTTGCATGTTTATGTGCCCGATAACCGATATACAGAACAGATATTTATTTACTGTTATAAAGAAGTAAGAACATACTTCACTTTGGTTTAAAATTAAATCTTCATTTAATCTTCATACTACAACAATAAAAAAACATTTTATTTATAAAAAGCAACAACAGCAACAACACTAATATATGGTCGTACTTCCTGGTTCTAGTAAGAACTCTAGCTGCTGCATTTTGGACCAGCTGGAGTTTGTTTATTAAGCGAGCAGAACAACCACCCAATAAAGCATTACAATAATCTAACCTTGAGGTCAGGAATGCATTCACTGCTACGAATTGATGATGGTCAGGTAAGTAAGATTTGAACCATGCCAATGCAGTTCCACTAATGCCAACATAATTTTGTACTCTACTCAAAAGAATGTTGTGGTCGATAGTGTCAAACGCAGTGCTAAGATCCAGTAGCACTAATAGAGAGATGCAACCACGATGATAAGAGCAGGTCATTTGTAACTCTGATGAGAGCAGTCTCAGTACTAAGAAGGAACATAGTTGTGATGATACTACCTTTTTTAGTATCTTTGACAGAAAAGGGAGATTCGAGATCGGTCTGTAATTAATTCATTCTCAAGTTGTGTTTTTTTAATGAGAGGCTTAATAACAGCCAGTTTGAAGGTTTTTGGGACATATCCTAATGACTAGTGATCGACCGATATAGATTTTTTATAACCGATACCGATACCAATTATTTGCATGTTTATGTGCCCGATAACCGATATACAGAACAGATATTTATTTACTGTTATAAAGAAGTAAGAACATACTTCACTTTGGTTTAAAATTAAATCTTCATTTAATCTTCATACTACAACAATAAAAAAACATTTTATTTATAAAAAGCAACAACAGCAACAACACTAATATTAACAATAAGAAAAATAAATGTCTAATGTTTTCAAATGGAGAAAATAAATAAAGGACAGGAGTCATATCAACTTCATTTTAAACTACCGTTTTAGTAGGTTTAAGCTGTTTAATAGCTACAGAGTCAAGAATAATTCACTGGATAATGTTAATTCACTGAATAATATTCTCTGGAATATTGGAATATAACAAACAAAACATCGTATTTTATTGCATTTCTCAACTGGAGTGTTATATCAGAATTATTAATAATGTTTTGTCGTTCTAGATTATGAAATGCCTGCTGACAGCGCAGTTTATCTATGCAGTTACACAGAACTATACTCAAACTGCGATCGCTCGTGGAGATAATAATTAATTTCCATAGAGCTATATTTATTTAGATGTTTATTAGCAAAATATTGGTTATATAGTAAATGTTAATACAATGTAGGGCATTTTAAACAAGTGAATCTTGTTAAAAGTTACATGCGGTGGCCGTGCTGGGGCATTTCCTGAGCATCAACCCGGTGAGTGAACAGCAATATGAAAGCGGCTTCACGAGACTAATGATGAGCAAATATACAACAGAGAGAGAATTAAATTCAGCGCTTTTATTTCCAACATGCGCTCATTCATGGCTGTATTATTTAACTCATGCAAAGTTACGTCTTTATTGGGAGAGGATCTTGACGGATTATCTACGTGACTCCGACGTCACAAGACTAACAATGAGCAGACAACAGAGAGATAATTCAATTTCAGCGCTTTTATTTCCAACATGTGCTCATTCATGGCTGCATATTTAATTCAGGCAAAGTTACGTCTTTATTGGGACAGGACTTGACGGATTATTTTACATGACTCCGTGAGTTGGTCTCTATTTCTTAGAGCCAAGCTGCATAAACTACATATCAAGCATTTATGTAATGCATCTAATTTGTGCATAAATGGGTGTTATGTTAAATAAAGTTTACTAACTACAGCAAATCAAGTACCTGCACCATGCCGTTGTTGTTGTCTCGTCTCCCCTCAGATGCGCTGCAATGGCGATCCTGCGCGCAATTCTCAAAACACCCACAAGATGGCGGCGTTTATCAGTGAATCTGATATTACAAAACCGATATCCGATTATGGTAAAATGCTTAAATATCGGGAAAATATCGGTAAATCGATATATCGGTCAATCTCTACTAATGACAATGACGAGTTAATAATATTCAGAAGAGGATCTATGACTTCTGGAAGCACCTCTTTTAGTAGTTTAGATGGAATAGGGTCTAACATAGATGTTGTTGGTTTAGATGATTTAACAAGTTTATACAATCCTTCCTCCAATATAGTAGAGAATGAGTGGAATTGTTCCTCAGGGGATCTGTAACGCATCTGATGCAATACTGTGGCTGACGGCTGCATGGTTATAATTTTATCTCTAATAGTTTCGATCTTGGAAATAAAGTAATTCATAATTCATAAAGTCATTACTACTGTGCTGCTGGGCAATGTCTGCACCTGCTGATGTTATATTTTTGTTAATTTAGCCACTGTATTGAATAAATACTTGGGTTATGTTTGTTTTCTTCTAAAAGAGACATAAAGTAATCAGATCTAGCAGTTTTTAAGGCTTTTCTGTAGGAGAGAGTATTTTCCCGCCAAGCAATACGAAATACCTCTAGTTTTGTTTTCCACCAGCTGCGCTCCATTTTCCGGGCTGCTGTCGTTAGGGCGCGAGTGTGCTCATTATATCACGGTGTTGGACTTTTTTTTCTTAATCTTCCTTAAGCGTAAAGGAGCAACCGTATCTAAAGTGCTAGAAAAGGGAGTCCATAGTTTCTGTTACATCATCAAGTTGTTCTGAGGTATTGGATATGCTGAGGAATTGAGATAAGTAAGGAAGATTACTTACAAAGCAGTCTTTTGTGGTAGAGGTGATGGTTCTACCATATTTGTAACAAGGAGTTGAATTTACAGCTTTAGCTATATGGAATATACACGAAACTAGATAGTGATCTGAGATATCATCGCTCTGCTGCAGAATTTCAGCGCCATTCAAATTCCATGTGACAGTATTAAGTCTAGAGTATGATTTCGACTAGGAGTAGGTCCTGACACATGTTGTCTAACCCCAATAGAGTTTAGAATGTCTATAAATGCTGATCCCAATGAATCTTTTTCATTATCAACATGGATATTAAAATCTCGGAATTATATCGTATCGACCGAAATTAAGAAATATATCGTGATATAAATTTTGGCCATATCGTCCAGCCCTACTTGAAACCTGACCTCTTAGAAATACTGAAGATATTGCTATAAACTGTAGCAACACCTCCCCCTTTACCTTTTAGACGCGGCTCATGTTTATAACAGTAATCTTGGGGAGTACACTTGTTTAAAGTAATGTAATCATCTGGTTTTAGCCATGTTTCTGTCAAACAAAGCACATCTAGTTTATGATCAGTGATCATTTTCAAAAAGTGCTTTCGTAGAAAGGGATATTATATTCAATAAGCCAAGCTTTATCATTTGTTTTTCTGTATTAGAGGGATGAAAACCATCTCTTTTCAACAGGTCAGGTCTGCCCCAAAACCTCGTCCAATTGTCTATGAAACCTATGTTATTCTGCGGGCACCACTTAGACATCCAGCCATTGAGTGACGACAGTCTGTTATGTATCTCGTCGCCACGGTAAGCAGGGAGGGGACCAGATCATATTACAGTGTCTGACATCATACTTGCAAGTTCACACACCTCTTTAATGATATTTTTAGTGATCTCCGACTGGCGAAGTCGAACTTCATTAGCGCCGACGTGAATAACAATCTTAGTGAATTTACATTTAGCATTAGCCAGCACTTTTAGATGGAAGAGCAGTGTTTTGACCTGTGACTATGCCGCCTCACAGTCACCCAGTCGCCCTGCTGCACGGGCTCTAGAACCGGAACCGAACAATCTACATGATTCGCTGAACTAGTCGCATCCAAAGCCCTACAGCCTTCACATTCTTACTGTCCTCAGTTAAAGTTTGGATGCGTGTCTCTAATTCTAAAACCTTCTCTGTCAGCCTAACTATTTCCCTGCATTTATCACATGTGAATCCCTGCTCACCGACAGAGAGAGATAAACTATACATGTGGCATAGAACCGGAACCGAACAATCTACATGATTCGCTGAACTAGTCGCATCCAAAGCCCTACAGCCTTCACATTCTTACTGTCCTCAGTTAAAGTTTGGATGCGTGTCTCTAATTCTAAAACCTTCTCTGTCAGCCTAACTATTTCCCTGCATTTATCACATGTGAATCCCTGCTCACCGACAGAGAGAGATAAACTATACATGTGGCATGCTGTGCAGGTGACAATGCAAGGAGAAGCCATTACTCACCGTGATTGTAGAATAATTCCGACTCACCACAGTTGTTGATGGACTCGTGAAAAAACGGAACGAGAGAAAAGAAACAGCGAGACAGAGAGAAAAAGAAGCGGTAGGAAATGCGAATGGAGATGCGATTGACAAGCTAATAGGCTAACGGAATGCTAACGCGCAGCGCTCGCAGTTCAGATTAAAAGATTAAAGGCGGATGATGTCAAATTCGTTTGGTGATCAAATCAGAAATATGGTGAGAATTAAATTATACTTTAGCGATTTAAACAACAGAGAGTGATAGTAAGAGAGATTTCAACAGATAAACAAAGCTACACGGAAATACAAACGCACTCAGCAGCACGGCAGACAGGAACAGGAAGTGATCTCCCGCTGTAATGTAGTAATTGTGATGATAATCGTATTAATGCATAAAATACAGAATTTCGATTTGTTTCATATGTTCAGAAAAAGGAACACAGCTATAGGCCAGGAAGTAGGCCAAGAAGAAAAGTGTGCAATTCAATCTAAAATTGAGCATGAGCTATGTTTCATAGCAATATTAAAGGATAAATGATTTCATAATCATAAGTTCATAATAGTTTCAATTCACACACAAAAAAACATACATTTAATTATAAGATAAATTAATATTTAAAAAAACTACACATACTGTATTAATGTTTTGTCATATTTACTTGTATACACAATGTGATTTTAAGTAAATATTTTAATAATTTAACAACACATTTACATGTTCATGATTATTTGATGTTTTATTTATTTGTTTGTTTACTGGTCACATGACATGTAAACAAATAAAATATATATTGTTAGTAAATGTTTTATTTAGTTTTTCTTTTCAAATTATTTATTTTAGTTTTAATATTATTTTTAATGATTGAACTGATAGCTTTTTATCAACCCCAGTTTGGGAAACCCTTCCAGAGGAATAAAGCCTGCTGTTTTGCATGCTGTGTTTTTAGTTCCTACAACACCCTCAACCTGATGGAGGACCTGAAGGGATTGTACAGGACTGCCGGACAACAGGGCAAAGGCATCAGCTTTATTTTCACTGACAACGAGATCAAGGATGAATCCTTCCTGGAGTACATGAACAACGTCCTTTCATCAGGAGAGGTCAGACAGCCATTCTGACATCATGCTTATAGAAGCACCCTTCCCCACAAGCCCCACAGCATCCATTCTGAGCCGTTTCATGATGTTTTTAGAACACACACTAAAATAGCCAAGCTACATGTGTTCCCAAGGTTACAACGTATGTCCCCCTAATAACTCAACCTTTATTTCACTACAAATAAGTAAAATTTCCCGAGGTGCCATAATGAAAATAAACAAAGGGAGTGTGTCACCCTGCCCTCTGACAAATTACAGAGCTCATTCTGTGTGGTAATGACACACAAATAAATGGCATCTGCGAGTCACGAGATGCATTGCTTCATATTAGAGAGACAGATGGGTTTGTCAAAGAGGCGAAAAAAATGTCAGCTCTGCATCCTGGAATGTGACACCTGCCAGAGAGCATTGGCTGCACTCACTTGTTGTGGATTTCATCCATCACACTGAAACTAACAGAGCAGCGTTGAGGAGGTGTTGCATTAGCATGACCGCACCTCAGGGGAGAACACTACACTTCTGCAGAGCTGAAGGTGGAAAGAGGGATAAGTTGGATAGACAAACTTTTTATTTAGAATTACATTTATTGAAAGAAACAGGGCACATGAGTAACATATTCCAAGATATATAATATTCTTCTGGCTCTTGTCCTGACTAAGCTTAATCTTAAACTAAAATAATTTATTATTATTACTATTATTATTATTAATAATAATAATAATAATAATGGTCACACTTTATTTTAAGGTCCAATTCTCACCATTAACAAATAATTAACTACGACTTTTGCCTCAATAAACTCAATTTGCTGCTTATTAATAGTTAGTATGGTAGTTGTTAAGTTTAGGTATTGGGTAGGATTAGGGATGTAGAATATGGCCATGCAGAATATGTGCTTTATAAGTACTAATAAACAGCCAATATGTTAATAATAGACATGCTAATAAGCAGCTAGTTAATAGTGAGAATTGGTCCCTACCAATTGCTAGCAATCTTTTTTTATAAACGTGTCAACTTGTTCGTAGTTGTTCCAAACCCGTAAGACCTTCGTTCATCTTCGGAACACTAATTAAGATATTTTTGATTAAATGTGAGAGCTCTCAGACCCTGCATAGACAGCAACGCAACTGCAATGTTCCCAGACAGAAACGTAGCAAGGACATCGGTAAAACTGCCCATGTGATTTTAGAGAGTATCACAACACATATGCATGCTTTCCCCTAAGCGTAAACAACGCAGATTATGTTCATGCACACGCTTTCTCACCCGAACGTAAACAATGCTGATTACGTCGATTACGTTCTTGGGTACTCTTCTTAAAATGGCAGAAGACGTAACTCGGGGGAGAAGAATTGTTAAATAAATTATGTTATTTTTGTTTTCTTTGCACTCAAAAATTATTCTCGTAGCTTCGCAAAACTGAAGTTGAGCCACTGATGTCACATGGGCTGTTTTACCGATGTCCTTACTACGTTTCTGTCTGGGAACATTGCAGTTGCGTTGCAGGGTCTGAGAGCTCTCACATTTCATCAAAAATATCTTAATTTGTGTTCCGAATATGAACGAAGGTTTTACGGGTTTGGAACGACATGAGGGTGAGTAATTAATGACAGAATTTTCATTTTGGGGTGAACTAACCCTTTAACTATGACTTTTCCCTCAATAAATTCCTAATTTGCTGCTTATTAATAGTTAGTAAGGTAGTTGTTAAGTTTAGGTATTGGGTAGGATTAGGGATGTAGAATAAGGTCGTGTAGAATAAGGCATTAATATGTGCTTAATTACTACTAATAAATGGCTAATATTCTAGTAATATGCATACTAATAAGGAACTAGTTAAGAGACTCTAAAATAAATAATTACCATAATGATTGATTGATGGATGGATGGATGGAATACATGGATAGATAGATAGATAGATAGATAGATAGATATAGAGGTTTTCACAAAAATAAGTTAATTAAGCCCTCGTCTAGCGATCCCAATGATCAGAAGCGCCCGCATAAAAACTCTTCCCACAGCACGCGATCCAGATAAATATACACATATACACAGAATTACAGTATTTAAGTAGGCTATTCACGCAAACATAAACTGTTTTGTCTTAAGTGAATGTTTGGGAACTGTTGGAGAAAAACATCTGATGTGTAACATTATATTAGATCCGTGCATTAGAGTAGGCCGTAATATATAGGTCGTCTGTTTCATTAATGTTAATCTAACAATAAAAGAAAAGAGTCACTTGCTGCTCTAGATTGAACTGCTTTTGTAGTTTTAATTATCAATTTATTTGTAATGAACACACTAAAGGGATTTTTACATTTGAGTATTTGTTTTTCTTACTTGAATTATTTGGTTTAGATATAAAATGAAAACGGTAATGCAGTATTTGCTTTTTTTATATTCTACTGGTTTTTTTGCATCTGTTCTTATTTATAATAACAAAGATAAAATAAAAATTGCTATATTGTTGTTATTAATATAGTAAGAAAAGGACTGGAGGAAAAGATGCAACTTTAACTCGATTTTTCTCAAAATTGAGTTTGCTGACTCTATCGACTTCAAATGGATGTAGCTCCGATTCCAACAAATCATATAATTTTTAAGGTCTTTTAATGGAGAATGTGAAAATAGAAATAACTCATTTTTTAAATTTTGCTCATTGTGACTTATTTCGTCAGCATACACACAAAAAAAAATCCTTCAATTAGGGAGCCTTGGTTTGTTTTTTTTGTTTTTGTTTAAAATTTCTTTTACAATCCTTTGTTTAAGGAAGATAAAGCCCTTTTAGTGATTTTCCTTTAAAATGAAAGGAAAATCACTAAAATTGAAACCATGATATTAATAGGGGAAAAAACTATAAAAGTTTTGTGTGGTAGATGTCCTGCTAAATGTTACAATTTTGCCAGCTTGTGTGAATTATTACGGGTTTGAGAGGGTGTATATATGTGGAATGGATTAAAACATGGTTAAGATTTGATTAACATTATTATTGTATTGTTATTATGGTAGGGAAAAAAACTATCATATTTGCATAATATTTAATAAACAAAAAACTCAAAGGGTATATGTTATGAAAGACAAATTCTGTGGAAATCAGCAGAACAATCTGCAGAGATCTGTCTGAAAAGATTCCATGTGGGCCTTCAAGAAAGAGGAAGAGAGAAAGAGTAGGAAGCCACAGGGAAGACAGTCAGAGAATAAGTACCAGGAAGAATAAATAGCTTTACAAATGACTAAATGTGTTTAATTAACACTATGTTCCAATGTGTCTTTCTCACCATCCCTGAATAAATAAAGGGGTTTGAGAATAATTGGCTATCATTTAAACCGTCATAAAGTCTTGTTTTTGGTCAGCCGGGTTTGGTGAAGGTTGTTATTTCATTAATCATGCTGTTAAGTACATAAAGAGAATTGACTGCACAGGAGAAGAGCACTCGAGGACCTGGGGAGAGATGGCCCTGCTCAAGAATATTAATGAAACACACAAGCTCTCAGTTATGCTGAGGATCTCAGGGTTTAGTTGAGAAACTGATGAGGTGAGACTGGTGTGTCAATGTGGAAGACAGAGGAGTTTAGTGCAAATGATTATCCAAGATTCTGAAAAGAGAGCAGAACAGCAAGATGAGTCTTTAGAGGACATGATGAGACAGATTCCAGCATTTTTATCTCATGGTAATTTGCTGTATTTCTGTGACACTCAGAGAGGCCGGTGTAGCCAAACTTAAGTGAAATATATTGCCTTGTTCCAGTCGTACACTAATCCATTTGTAGTCCTTCTGAGAGTTTTTTGTCTACTGACAGACTGTTGTAGCATAGTCTAATATAGCATTGTCAGTGAGGCCCAGCAGTATCAGAATACATTGATAATCTGGGATTCAAAATGTAATTTAAAACCTGGAAATAACTGTTTTAGTTTTTCTGAATATTTAGAACTAAGAAACAGTATGGTCCAAACTGAAAAATAAATGAGATATTACACTATTTCTAGGTCTCTAATCAAACGAGCAAATTTGTGATACTGGCTATACATGTCAAACATGTATAACATGTCAAAAAACTTCCATTGATGACCACAAAATACTCCTTGGAATATTCTCAAATCATACTGGGATTGCAAATACTTTTCACTTCCATGCCAGCTTGGGTGCTGCTGTAAGTAAAAGGAGCACACTAAAATCACGTCCAACTTTTCACTGCTAATGATATTATTTTTAAAGAAAATAAAGTATTAAATTGGCAAAACACAACATAGAAGTACTTTATCTATAGTAGTTATAGATTTTTAAACCATACTGTATGCTTAGTTATAGACCTTATGTAGCTCCCCCCTTTTCAGCGCTGCGCTCCTTGTCTTCTGTCTTACGTTTGTATTTCCACAGTGTTAAGGTATGGTTGTACGCATTTATAAATGAATCGCTCATTTAAAAATCTTCCCTGTCTACTGACATTTGTTATGACATTCGCTTCAAACATTACAATGCACAGTAACTTTTATTAACTAAATCCACTTCACCAGTTTATTACTCTTCAACGGTGACGCTATAGAGCTACTGCAAAAACCGAAGTTCAAAGACAAAATTCCAAAGATGGCTGTGCATTTGTTTCTCTGACACAAAAGGTCTATACAGGCTTGCATTTTGCCATGATGTCGCAATGGAGGGTCTATTACAAATAAAACACTTGTTTTAAGTGTGATAAACTCAAGTAAATACTTATCAACGCTTCAAAGATCCCAATTCTAATGTACCCCAAATGCTTGACAGGGATTGGAGAGAATTTAAGGTGATTTGTTCGTTTCAATAAATAATTTCCAAGGAGTATGATCACCTCAAAGGAATTATTCACTAAATAATGAAAAATCTGAAACCCTTTATTCAGCCTAATGTCATTCCAAATCCATAATACATTCTTTCTTCTGTGGAGCATAAAAGGAGGTGTTTTGAAGAAACTATTCAGACTGTTCTTTGCCATGCATTGCTATACAGTAACCAGAGGCTACCAAGGTAGCATAAAATAATATGACTCATGAGCTGTATTCCAAGTCTCTTGATGCCATATGATAGAAATGTGTGAAAAACAAACCAACTTTGAATTAAATCTCATTAGTTTATTGGAATATGTGTAGTTGTACACATATTCAGATATGGAGAATCACAAACAGTTGCTACTTTTGTTGACATCAATATGCAACATGAAAATTTCATTGTATGTAAAAGAGCACTGTCTGTAGAATGTCTTCTTTTGTGGTCCATGACAGAAAGTCATACAGGTTTGGAAAGACATGAGTATGAATAAATGATAACAGACTTTGTATTTTTAGGTGAACTATCCCTTAAGTGATTCAGAGAATGACTAAGAACATTTAAATGTCTTCTCCCCTCCCTTGAAGGAATAATTTTATCCCCACGGGTGTGTCATTTTGTCTAGATTGTACATTTGTCATAAATTCCCAGAGAAACCAGGGCTAGGTTTAATCTAATGAGTTGTGAAATATTCTTTCTGCCACAGGTGTTCAATCTGTTTGCTCGAGATGAGATCGACGAGATTATCAGTGACCTCATTCCAGTCATGAAGCGAGAGTTTCCACGGCGACTGCCCACAAATGAAAACCTACATGAGTATTTTATGAGCAGAGTGAGGCAGAACATTCACGTGGTTCTGTGCTTCTCTCCAGTCGGCGAGAGGTTCCGTAATCGAGCTTTGAAGTTTCCTGCTCTCATTTCAGGGTGCACCATGGACTGGTTTAGCCGCTGGCCCAAAGATGCTCTGATCGCAGGTCAGTAATTTGATACATCAGACCCATGAAGGATCAGTATACCCAGGGGGAGCCCAAAAATCTGGTGATATATACTGTATCATGTCTAAGAGTGGATGCAGCACATTTTTTGAGCGAGTGCATTTACTCGAATATGTGTGCTGGATCAAACAAAAACTAGAATGGAGCAGATTGGTTTGATATAGTGGCAATATTATACTGCTGTTTCAAACGGCTTTGGCCCCATTTGACCCCATTTGCTTCATGGGTACTAAGAGACATCCAGAGATTCATAACTGTAAATTCCAAGTGAACTGTGTATTAGATCTCCCTTGCAGTAGAGGGGAAGAAAAAAAGGGCATTGTATTTACAGGGGGAAAAGTCTGTTTCAAACCATTAGGAGCTTTAAAATGGTACTGGTGAAGCATTTACTACAAAATAATGACATGTTTTGTGATTTGTATGCTACTTGTGGAATAAAATAAATAAATACAATAAAAATTATCCCAGAGCCCCAGCATCTACAAATAATGCATAAACCGCCCAAATCCCAGACCAAATTCAACTGTAAAAATCAACACTCAAACCAAGGTCTTATAATGATAAATGTCTATTTTGAAAATAGTCACCATGATTTATTGTCAGAGTAAATTTGTCTGCCTGTAGAATTCAATGCAGAAAACAAGTAATTTAGGGACGGCACAAAATGTTCCACAAACAATTTAAATCAATCACATTTAAGAGAACATCTCTTCTGCTCTGTTAGAATTGGAGGGTTAATGTAGCTGAGAATGAAACAATAATTTAAACATTGAAAGACAATCAGCCATTGCAAAAATGAATGTGATTGTAGTTATTGCTAGATAAACAGCTTATATGCATATTGTGCAAAGAAATAAGAATAATATTTGTGTTTGTTTGTTTTTCCTCAGTGTCAGAGCACTTCCTGTCCATGTATGACATAGACTGCACTCCTGAGGTCAAGGGGGAAGTGGTTCAGTGCATGGGCTCTTTTCAGGATGGGGTGGCAGAAAAATGTGCAGATTATTGTCAGCGGTACCGACGTTCCACACATGTCACACCCAAATCCTACCTGTCCTTCATCGATGACTACAAGACCATCTACAAAGAAAAGCACTCAGAGGTTCAGACTCTCGCTGACAGGTCAGTGTAATCAGAGAGCTTAAATAAAAAAAAAATCTATCTGTCTATCTATCTATCTGTCTGTCTGTCTGTCTGTCTATCTATCTATATATTATAACATCTATAACAAATGGTTTTTATCATGTCCTGACTTTGAGGGGTGAATTCACCAAATATTCACTAAAGTGTCATGCCACTTTTGTGCATTGCATTTATGCAGGAAAAAAAACTCATTATAACCAGGTGCTAATCCTCATTTTGAAATAGTGCTGTGCTTTGTATATTTGAATAAAGACATTGTCAATCCTTTTAGCCCAAACATGCCACCTTTCTATGTAAATTACACTGCATAGAAACACTTGTTTAGAACACATAGAACACATAGAAACATACATACACTGCATTACTTTATGCAAAAACCAGACTATATTTGCCTGGTATTATTACTGTAGTATTACTGACCAAAGAAAATTAGATGGTAGATTGGATGCTGTGGCGTAATACAATAAAATCCCCTCAAAACACCCCAGATTGCAGCAATGTTCTGCATCCTCCACAGCCTACTGCAATATCTGAAATTGCGCTGTGCATGGACCTTTGTGGGTGCATTTTTATTGTTACCCAATTTGCATAATTCATTTAGTTCATGCAAATAAACAGCACTATCATCAGGCGCAATTCATTGTTAGTGGATCCCCCCATGACTTTCTGTAAAAATTAATGATGGAGTTTGGAACCATGTGTAGAGTTTAATTTCTAAGTGTTTTGTTTCATTAGGATGAACACTGGCCTTCAGAAACTCAAGGAGGCCTCTGAGTCTGTTGCTACCCTCAGCAAAGAACTGGAGGTGAAGGAGAAAGAACTTCAAATAGCCAATGAGAAGGCTGATATGGTAAATGTGTTTGTTAACTTTCAATTCAGTCTGATTACTTCAAAATTGCCCCTCAGGAGTGTGTCAGCTCCCCTGTCCACTTCATTCTGTACACAGTGCTTGAGTCATCTTCCCAAAAATGAAATTTCCAGGCAATATTGAAGTTCATTGGTTTGTTGTACAGGGACAGGAGTGCAAAGGCTTATTACTCATATGTCAATATGTTTGTGTCCTGGGGACAAAACGAGGGAAAGGATATGTGTCCTTAAAATAAATAACAGACTACAGGCCTGTAGTTATTTATGACCAGCATATTGTGCAGGTCAGTTTGTTCAGATTGACAGCGCATGAGTGCATAGACTCTGCTTCAGTTTAAACTAAATCAGGGATGTGCAGCTCCGCTCCTGGAGGATCAATGTCCATCAGACTTTAGCTCCATCCCTAATCAAACACACTTGAAAAATCCAACCAAAGTCTCTAGGATTGCTTGAAGATTACAAGCAGGTGTGTTTGATTAGGTATGGAAATTAAACTCTGCAGAACAGGTCTAAAATTACCCATATTTGCATTAGATGATGTGTTTTTTTTTTTCCACAGACTTTGAACGGTTCATACTGACAGCAATTTTCACATGCCAGGTCACTGTACTGTTGGTTGTTTGTAGGTGTTCCTACTGTTGGATGTCAGGGTTCCAGAGAGAGGAGGATTCAAGTTGCAGGGTAAAATAATATTTATTTGACATGGAGAAACAAGGGCTAGACAAGATCAAGTCCACGCAGCCATTAAAGGGAGAGCAGTCTGCACAGAAGGATAGGGATGCGGTTTGATGAGGCAGAGGAGCAGCTGGCAATGGTGGCAGGTGAGGCAGGGAGAAGGAGAGAGGGAGATGGCAGTGGGGGGAACAGCAGCTAGGAAGCTGGGGAAACTGGAGAGAAAAAAAATAAATGAATAAAATAAAAAGAGAAAAACTAAACTAAACTGAAACTGAAGGTAAACCACCATGGTGAAAGACTTAAAATAAAAGGGAAAAAAAAAATCTGAAAGAGGGATGATGAAGAAAAATAAAAATAAATAAATAAACTGCATGTGCAAGCGGGAGCTTTTTATTGATTATTCAATAATGAATAAATGTAAAAACACAATCTAACCCAGTTAAAAAAAAAGAGTGGTAACAGGTGAGAATCAGGTAAGAATGATAATGAACAATGAACAAGACAGAGTGGGCTGGACAACAACTGACAGTTAAACACATGGCTAAACACAACAGAACACAAACACTATGCACCAAAACACAAACACTACAGCCATGTGCCCTGAATGAACAAAGAGACAAACACAACTGGACCTATCAAGCCAGCATCCTGACACTGGATGCCCAGTGGGTTGTGGCCATAGCTTTTGTAAATCTGATCACAAATTAAATGTATTGCTGGTAAAAGTAAGATCTCATTTTATTTTGACAGTAAACCAGTTTGTTTGTTTGTTCCGATTTTTTCCCCCTTTTCAAGGCCTATATAGGTTCTGTTAATTTGATGCTTTCATTTAGATTAATTCATTAAAACAAATCTCATCAGTCAACCCAGCTGCTGAATCTGATGGCAATAGGCTTCGCCAAAGCAGGGGGTTTCCAAGCATGTTGAAGTTGAACTCTTTTTAATTTGAAATACTCTTTAAAAACATGGCTGTCATGGCACAAGATGTTGACCCACTTTGATTTTTTTAAAATCTTTTAACAATCAATGGCCCTAGGTATTTAAGTGTGTCTGGCAGTCTTACAGAAATTAATCAGATCTGCGTCACCAATTATTGCAGTAACTTGTCAGAACTGATACAATCACAGATTTCTCACCTTGAAAAAACTGCCATTGATGATCTATTAAAGAAGACCTGTGTTAATTGCTGCCCTTCTCTCCAGCTAATATACAAGTAGTCTCTCGTTAGACAGGCTCAGAAGATAGTTCTCTATAGTGATTTTCAGTTACTGTCTCCTGTAAAAGATTCAGGTGTTCCCAGGAGAAGACTAAACCAGTAATGCGCAGTGGCCAACACTACAAGCAATATTCAATATGGGTCCAAGGAATTCTTTATATGTGGATGGGGATATATATGTATTTTGAGATGAACTGCTTGCATTGATTAATGCTGTTGTGATTAATGTGCATGTGCTATCTCTATAGTCAGCAAAAAACATAAATAAATCACTGTTTTCTAAATGCATGTTATAAATCTTATTGTAAACAACTCATCAGTGCATAGGCTTCATTTTTTAAAAGTCTTTTGTTTTTGTAATGTTTAATTAAAATGTCATAACTAGACTTTCCATTGAAAACAGTGATGTATACATTTGTCCAATCAATTAGTCTGCTTAAACCATGGCTCTGCAAGCTTGCATTCATCTACCTCCACTTTTGAGTGTTATACACACAGCTCGAAATCCAATCAACAACTGATACATAGAACCAAGTCCCAACTGTACAGTTTTCTCTTTTCCGATAGTTCATTACACTCTGATGTACATCACAATACAGAAGAAAATATCTGTTGCTATTTCTGTTACATCATGACTTGGCTTCATTATGCTGTTTGTATGGAATGTTGCATTCTACTACATTCTATTCTGTTCTAAATGAAATTCGTTGCGCTGCATAAAGCTTGAAAGTATCCATTCGGTGAAAGAACTGCCTCCCAGTCACAGGCTAACCAAAGATCAATACTGTTCTCTGAAGCATTAGGATGACAAATGAACAGCCCCAGACTCAGAATTATACCATGAAATGCTGCAGGTATTACAACATTGATATTAGTGTTTTAATTTTTTTCTCATTTTTGTTTCAGGTGTTGAAGGAAGTGACTGTGAAGGCTCAGGCTGCTGAAAAGGTCAAAGTCGAAGTTCAGAAGGTCTAAGATAAAGCGCAGGCCATAGTGGACAGTATCTCTGCAGACAAGGCCATCGCTGAAGAGAAGTTAGAGGCAGCAAGGCCTGCTCTGAAGAGGCTGAGGCAGTACTGCAGGTCAGGAACAATATGGAGCGATTACATGGCAGTATTGGAGAGGAGAGAAGGAAAGGAGTGTGATGTTCGTGGGGCATTATGGTGCCTGCAGCTTCCGTGTAATTACATGCTGCATGTGAGGGTGTAAAAATAGACTGTGTGATGGCAGGGTTGCTGTAGGGGGTCTCGTAGCGAGCAGGGGTCTGACAGCAGCCACCTCTAACCAACCCCACACACCCACTCAATCACATAACCACCCAAACACATACCCCACCTCTTCCCTCCACCACCTGCCCACTGTGTCCCTCCCATGAATCTGTCCATAATGCATTCCATAATTTCTTGGACTCTTTCTTTTTTTCTGCTTTCATTTTTCTGTGCACATTTCAATATGTCTGCTCTAGATGACGCAGATCTAAAATTTAGCTACATACTTATAGCTCGTTACTCTAGCTTATACAGTAGCTTATATATGTAATATGTTAAAATATACTTTACTTATTTGGCATAATATTCTAACCAGATATTTTATACATTTTGAATAATTTACAGAGGCCCTACGTTGTTTTCAGTGAGTTTCCCAAAGCTTTTAAAGCCCTAAGTACACTCAAAGTGAAATCGAAGAACTTGTGTGATGTAATTTCAAATAAAATCAGGCCAAGACAAAGTTTGTATCACAGTTATGTATTCCATGAGAAAGGAACACGATGCTGCATCATGGTGTTGACACTGTGGGAATACCTTTAGTGTAACTGGTGTCTGAAGCACATGTGGACACACGCAAATCCAGATTGGCTATGGCAGTCTTATGACTGGGTGCACTGGCATACTATAAAAGGGCATCCACATAAAACATAATTGGCTTTGAATTGTCTAAAGGAGGATGCGCAAGCATGCCTGAAGTGTTGCAATGCAGTGCAGCATCTTGTTCCCTTGTCAGGAAACTGGGTTATATACATCATCCTGAGATGTTCCCTTTCGAGGGAACTCAACATTTTGTCATGATGTTGACATTACAGGAACATTAATACCCACTATGCTATACTGAATAAATGATGCAGTTCAATGCTCCTTAATACTTACCTACACTCTAAAAAAAGGCTGGGTTATAAAACCCAACTTGGGTTATTTGGCAGCCCAGCACTGGGTAAATATTGGACAAAACACATGCTGCGTTATTTTGACCCAGCTGGTTGGGTTAAATGTTTTTACCCAACATGCTGGTTGGTTTATTTAAGTCAACTATTGTTTAAAAATTATTATGTTGCTGGCTTAAAATGGGCTGGAAATTAAAAATCACACACAGAATTACTAGAGGCAACAGAATATTTAAAGGATAAACATGTATTATTAAGCAAGAACACTCATGGACAAACTATAAGACAAATTGAATTTATTGGGGTGAATACAGCATAGCTGACAACATTTAAACTCATTTAACAAGCATTCGCGGGGGGAACTGCGAACTTCAGACCGCCGCCTCGCGTTTCACTTGTAGCTGAAAGATGCCGTGACTGACTCCATAACTTGCCCATAAACAAACAGTACTGAGATTAGAAAACATATTTAAACACCAAATTAAATTAAATTAAATTCAGTATTATAATGAATAAAATCAGTTTATGTTAAGCAAGTCAAAAGACGTTTTCATCATACAAAACGACCGCTGCTGATGCAGCGTTTTAGCTGACTGACATCTCATTCTTGTGTTGCGTTGCATAAAATAATATAATTTACAACTCAGTAAAGACTTTACAAATGAAATAAAATGTATACAAACCTTTATCTCATTGAGGGAGTGCACCAAATCGGTGGCAGTGGCACTGAGAACTGCTCGCTCCTGTAGAGAGGAAGTCTTCGACGAAACAACCCAGCTGCTGAGTTACAGTCAGATTGCGAGCTTTTTGCGTAAAAAGCTCACAGTCTGACTGTAACTCAGCAGGTGGGTTGTTTCGTCGAAGACTTGCTCAACCCAGTGGTTGGGTAGAAAAAAATAACCCAGCATTAAAAATGATGCAGCAGCTTAGTTACAGAAAAACTACCCAGCAACTGGGTAAAAAAAAATAAATAAATAAATAAAATGACCCGACAAGCTGAACCCAGCATTTTTTAGAGTGCAGAAAAACTACCCAGCACCTGGGTAAAAATATTAAAAACAACCCAATAAAATGACCCAACAGGCTGAAACCATCATTTTGGGTTAAAACAATAACCCAATATTTTTTAGAGTGCAGAGTAGAGGCGTTCCTGCAACCAGACTGATCCTAAGACTGTAGATATAAATCTGTAGGTAATCTTCCAAGGAGGAATCCCTCCTGCCCACTCTGACCCTCAGTCGTCCTTAGAGGAAAATAGCAAAAGTACTTTAAGAAGATCCAGCCTGGAAAGGCAGCAGACAAAAGAGTGGAGCACCTCTGCGTACTAAATCTCATGCTCTGTAATCATCCTTTCCTCATGGTCCACTAGGAAAGTGTGCCAATGTACCTTATCTACACCATCACCTCCGAGCTAAAGAAACTGGAGGGGGCAACAGAGAATGTGGGATGCTAAAGGCGATCAAAGCCGCTTTCTTCTCTGTCCACTGTTTTTCCCGAGCATCACCTTAACACAGGGAACTGAAAGACGTTTACCGCCGACCTACCAAGGGAGTGTGCTGCTTGTATAAACAGGTCCCTTAAGAAAGTGAGCCGATATTTTCTTGTCTAGCTATTGGCCCCAGTCTAAGGACTGGAGGTGGCGACTGAGAGAGTGGGTTGCAAATAGCATCCTACTAACTCTATGCTATGTCGCCCTTATTGGCTGATGGCTGCTCATACTTAACTCAGTTCTAGCAAGGAATGTGCCAACACCACGCAATTACTTCCAAACTAATGTGCTAGAGGGAGTGACAGAAAAGAAGAGGAAATCTGAAGAGGATCTGGAAATCTTCTGTGGTTAATTTCTTCTATTCAATCCATTGAGGTCAGAGATGAGAACTTGAACACACTGGAGAGCTGCTTTAAAGTAGAAATTTAAGTTGTAATTCTAATTGAAAGAAGCATATTTACATTCTGATCTAAACACAAAATGAACAAAAGCCCCTTGAAGACGCTGATATGCTCACAGCAAAGTTATTTTCCATTCTTCGTTTAGGGGTGAAAAGAAGTTAGAAATACCTCATCATCAGTTTACTATTAGTGAACAGTGTTTAGATGAATATGTAAATATATGCATCACATTTTCCTCTCAATAACAAAATAAACACACAACAAAAATGACATAAGTGAGAAAACAGCAGTTAAGAAAGCAACTGATTATAGCAATATGGATATGTTTGCACAAGCTCTGCGATTTGACACTCCACTCCTGTCAAGTCAAGTCACATTTATTTATATAATATATAGTTCTAAAGTATTAAACATGAACAAACTGGAGAAGATTTCCATGTCAAAGGCAGAGCCACAGAGCACACCTACCTATACTTTCCATTTAACAATGGTATTTTGAAGCCATTTACCAGCTGGGGCACATTTTCTGAAAAGTTCGACAGTATGTTCTTTGATATCACTTGAAGTATATCAGGGCTTGCTGCACTATCTCACTCCGTTCCACTGGTTCCCAGGTTTATAGATCTTTCTACTTTATTCAGAAGAGATAAGATAAATCCATCATGCATTACTCATTAAGCTTACAGTATGTGTGCTAAATTTTGTCAACCACGAGTCATAACAGCTGCCACTCGGATGAATAAGTTATTCACAAAGTAACTGGTTGGTATGTCAGAATGTTAACACGATGTCTAATTCACTGTCACTCTGTTTCTTTCTGTATTTCTCTCCCTATTTATCTGTAAACAGACCATAAAGCCATCAGATATTGCCACGGTGCGAACACTGGGCAGACCACCCCACCTCATCATGCGTATTATGGACTGTGTGTCATTGCTCTTCCAGAGGAGAGTGAACACGGTGAAAATTGATCCTGAGAAAAACTGCACCATGCCCTCCTGGCAAGAGTCACTCAAACTCATGACTGCTGGCAACTTCCTGGGCAGTCTACAGGTACAAGCCTTAATATTAGATAACTAGACCATTCTTTGCATTTTTCCCTTGTCGTATAAAGTAAAGGTTTCTTACCCCAAAACAGTGATATTTTAGTTTTCAAAACAAACTCATTTTATAAATAACTAATTTCCCATTCTCTGTCACCCACACAATTAAACAGGGCCTTTTCTCTGTTCTGAATTCTATTTAATGTCCTTATAACATGTGAAAAAGTAATAGTGATTTTTTTGTGCAGTTTAAATATAGTACTAACTGCTTCAATCTTCAGTGTCAGCCCATTGCAAAACTTAAATGTAAAAAAACAAACAAACAAACACTGTGACACCTGTGTTGTTGAAACTGTAACCATGTATTTTAGTGTTCAGGATTAATCAAATCAATTGTGTTTTGTTTATTACGCCACTGTGACTGAATGGACGAATCTCAACACTGTGTTGTTGATATGCATAGGCGTGTATTATTTGTTAATTAGTGGTGGGCAATTAAAATATAGTTGTAATTCCTAGGGGTTATTTTAGCTGTATTATTACCAACAGTACCATTAGTAGTACCAATATTGATACCAGTATTGCATTATTGAAAACAGGATTTTTTTCCCCTTATGCCTATTAACAGGATGGATGGATGGATGGATGGATGGATGGATAGATAGATAGATAGATATAAATACTGATAGATTTAAAAACGATCTGTTTACAGACTTTACAGAAGGCTGAGCTACAAATATCAAATAATATTGCCATTTTTAAGAGCATAGTTTCAAATATGTTCCATATACTGTACACCAATATTGTTTTACGCCATCTTTTGTTTTGTCCTCCAGCAATTCCCCAAAGACACCATCAATGAGGAGGTGGTGGAACTCCTCTCTCCATACTTTGACATGGCAGACTATAACATAGAAACAGCCAAGAGGGTGTGCGGCAATGTTGCAGGGCTTTGCTCCTGGACCAAAGCAATGGCTGCCTTCTTCTCTATCAATAAAGAAGTGCTTCCTTTGAAGGTCAGATCACTTGATTGTTTTTACATGATGAAACCTTGTCAAGTTATTAGGATTTCTTTACTAACAGGCCCTAATTTAAACTGTCAAAAACTGTTAAACTGTCAAATCTATTAGTCTGTGAATTGCTATTAATATTTGATTATTCTTTACCTTTGGGCATGATTTTGGGCATGATTATTTTAGCATGTTTTGATGTATTAGTTTACTTTTCAACAGTTGCCTGATGCCTAAGATGCACACTTTTCAAATACAACTTCCACAAGAAATCCCAATTGTTTTTTTTTTTGTTCATATTTGTTAGCTTCAATAGTATACTACTAGTGCAAGTTGACAAGTTAACCTTTAGCAGATACAGTAAATGCATGTAAAAATAACTTTTTTTTTTCTTGGGAAATCAGACTATGATGCCTCTTGTATTAAGGAGCTCTAAATTTACAAATTTACAATTCCCCTGAAATATTTACCTTCTTTGGACTAGTAATAGCAAGTAAGAAATGATGGCGTTTTAAAAATATCAAACATTTTATGGGGCCTTTAAAATAGTAAATGTTTTTCAGATGTTCAAGAGCATAATTTAAGTTTATCATTGACAACTTTACAGATGCACAGCTGCACAAATACACAAGATCCCTAATTCTGTGATCATAATGTATTGAAGTTTAGTAATATTTGATTTTTTTCTGGATACATATTTATACAGCACAAAAATAATAATAAATATAGCTGCAAGCAGCAATTACCGGGGTTCAAGCACATTAAGGCATTTAAGGTGGTATGTTTTAGGGTCTAGGCCAACCTGGATGTATGGCTGACAGTAAAACACATCCAAAATGGAGAAAAGGCTCACAGACACAGACACAGACACACACACACACTCAGAAATTAAATGGTTAAACTATTATGTTAATACTCAATAAGCATGCTTACACACAAACAGACACACACATACACAGACATACATGCACACACATTTTGTTGCAGATATAGTTATGTGAGATAAATGATAGGTGACACAAAACTTATCGCAAGTCTTTTCTTTTTAAGAGTGTATATGTTATTTTCAGGTTTCACTATTATTATAATCTGGCATAATTGTAAGAACTGATATGTTTGAATGAACAAAATGGTAAACTTTGACTTAATGTGATTTTAAATGTTATAACAGTGATTTTATAATGTCTTAGCATGAACCCATAGGCAAACCTATAATTAGTGCTGTTTTAGGGCATTTAATGAGGCCATTAGTGTTGACAGCATTGGTCCCAGAGGTAAAGTTCTTCAGAATGAGGAGATATATCATATGATATGAAGATCTAGTGTTCGTGTAAATATCTGAGATTTTTTTAGCAATTTGAGGCCATTTACCATTGAGATCGTGTGTTTTTGAAGCCTTTTTAACTGTTATTGCGTCACCTATGGTCCGTAGTTCGCAGAAGTAGGTTTTTAACATATTTGTGAATATTTAATGAACGATTTGATTGACAGCAATGGTTCTTGAGGCAAAGTTGCTCGTTATGAGGAGGTCTATCATACGACATAAAGTTCTTGTGTTTTTGTGATTATATGAACATGTTCTACAATTTGAGGTAATTTTCTACACAAATATTGAATTTTTGAGGTCTTTTCAACTGTTATAGTACCACCTATGGTCCGATCTCCCTGAAACTTTGGATGCTTGTTAAGAGTCATCTGACACATGTTTACACCAAGTTTCATAAAGTTATGAGTTTTTGTTTAGGTTTTATAGGCTTTTGGGTATATCTGGCCACACCCCTTTTCTAAATGACACCGTTATAAGTAACCAAAAGACAAAATTCAACATTTTTTTGATAATTATTGATCTAGAGAGTCCAGAGAATATTACTACAGTGGTTTGATTGAGATTGAGCGAAAAACCTAGGACTAGTTCGCAAAAGTAGGTTTTTAACATATTTGTGAATATTTAATGACCAGTTTGATTGACAGCATTGGTCCTAGAGGCAAAGTTGCTCGTTATGAGGAGTTCTATCAAATGATATGCATATTTCTGTGAATGAGTGAAACACCACGTGATTACTGAGCCATAAAACTCGTTAGCGCCAACTAGTGGCGGATTTCTTTCAAAATTCGTACAGACCTTTAGAGCCATGAGTCGAACATGCCCACCGAGTTTCGTTCCGATCGACCTCCGTTAACCTTGTCTAATAGGTGCTCAAATTTCATTGGCCGATGGCGGCCATGTTTTTTGATATACACCAATGTCCTCATAGACCCTTATGGCACATTGGACAAAGACACTGCATACCAATTTTCAAGCCGATCGGACCAACGGTTGCGAGTTTATAGTCATTTTTAAGTTTTTTCCATCTTATAGCGCCACCAAGTGGCAGAACTGCGCAATTTTTTTTATTTGACCAAAGATTGAGCTTTTACACATGTGTACCGAGTTTGGTGAAGATATCTCATTCCGTTCAAGAGTTATAGCTAAAATAACATTTGGCTAACGTTAGCATAGACGTTTCTTTGCACGCTGTTGCGCACGACAATCGAAATTTCAACTTTTTTTTGATAATTATTGATATTCAGTGTCCAGAGAATATTTCTGCAGTGGTTTGGTTCCGATCGGGCGAAAAACCTAGGACTAGTTCGCAAAAGTAGGTTTTTAAC